AGTTGTGTTTGTAATTCAAATGAGTTAATTGAGCTGACTAGTTCCACTAGCTGACTCTTTACATATCAGACTGTTGCTCCATCCAGATGGATTTGTGTTTCATTCAGCACAGGTGGGCACTTATTCTTATGATCTAACTTTATTAGCATAAGCTGTTCATCCTATTATGGTATAGTTATAGGCACAATGGGAACCCAGTGAAATAGCCCCTTTTATTCCACAGATCCTGCCTCTTGCATGTCCTTGACTTACATTTGCTGACTTTGCTGAAATAAATGAGCATTTATTCCTGGTAACCTTGCAGACGCAATGCAACTACTGAGAAGACAGCTGGGAAATATTCTATCTTCTGTATCAGCAACACTGTCAGTCAGTGCAGGTTGAAACAGAGGGGATGTATTTCTCATGTTTTGTTAATTTCAAGGCATTTTGCAAATACATGTTGTTGAAATGCAAATCAATTTTAAAGTGGCGCAGGGGTCAAATAAGTTCTTGTTACAGAATAACAGGCAAAGTATAAGAAGCCACTGAGGTTTTCATGTGCGGGGGACAGTTTGAAATGCTGAAAACAAGAAAAAAAATATTCTTATTTTATTATGGAAATGAGAAGAATACGCTTTCGAAACTGAACAAAACCAGGTGTGAAATCCGCTGTATCATTCTTAAACATCTTCGATCACTGTCTGGCATGTGGTAGAATTTACCAACAAGCCCAGAGCACACATCATCTGAAAAGCCTACGGTCTAAAGTTAGCTTGTTAATGCAGCAAAAACTTCTGAAAACCACTACCTAGGCTGATGCCTACCATCTTGAATACAGCCACAAGAGGACTCAAAAAAATACATGGTGTGGCAAAACATGTAAACTTTTTTTTTTTTTTTTTTTAATATTTGCTGAATCAGAAGCCCAAACTGTGATGCCAGGAGAAAGTTCAACTAAGAAACCCCTGCACTAAAAATGTGGTGCCCTGGTTCAGGCCCCATACACCCTTGCATGAGCAGCAAAAGCAATCTAACCAGCTGCAACTGCATGGGACCAAAAGGAAACAGCTCCTGATGAAGTAACACACATGAGTCACTGAAGTCTTCATAACTTATCTGATCTATAAGAGATTGAAATAACTCTCTTTCCCGGTAACCGCTGCAAAGCAGATAGCACAGGGATGAAGGAATGTGCAACATCCACCCTGTAAGAAACAGATGGGCAACCATACTCCACAACAGCTGCAAACTCTTAATTTCAAGGGAAATATAAGTAGGAGCAAATTGCAGTCATCTCCACTTCAGTGTGCATGGGTTTTTGTCGGTTTTGTTTGCATGTTTGTTTTAAATTATCCAACCATAGAACACTTACGCAGCAAGCTTCTGAAGAGCCTCCAGGCGCTGCTGAGCCCTCCGTCTCCATCTTCGGTCAATAAATGGAGGCACCGGATCTTTGCCCTCCAGGCACAAACTGTGGCCCGGGAAATGAATCAAGCTACTAAACATACTTCTGAGCATTGGTGCCTTTACCTAATGTTCGTGCGGACACAAAGAAGAGAGGCAGTGATTTAGCAATTTCAAACAGCATTAGAGATCAGAATTTTAGCTTGCTGTGATTTACAGGACTGCACATTTGGGATGGGGAAAGAAGGCATACGTATGCTAATGATGTCAGCTGGCTAGATGGTACTTCTCAAGATGTGGAGCATACCAGACTAGCAGCAGATGCACAGTTATGCCTTCTGGCTGTTTTCCAGTGTCTAAACTTACACTTAAAATCAAAGGATCTAACGGTTCGTTACATAAAGAAGTTAGCGTGCAGTAACTGTGAATATGCAGTAATATGAACTTCTAGCACATTACCCCACGTAACTCCCTCCTATTTGGTGTGCTCTAGAAATGAAGTAACATATTCCACTTACAAAGTTACATTATTTTATACTGTAACAGTTTTAGCATATGTTAAAAATATCTCTATGGGAGTTAGCACACAAAAATGATCACATTAAAAATCCACACCCTTCCTTCTAAGCACTAACTCTCCTGGGTAGATACACCTTAAATCTCTAAATTTATGGTTGCCAGTAAATCTTTGCAATTGTGACTCAAGTATAAGTGATGTAGCTATATTGGCTTGAGCTTCTGTAAAGCCTGAAATAATTTTTGAATTATGAATCGCTCCTTTCATTTCAGCAGGTGCTAACTCAGATGCGTATAGGGTAGTGGTGACATTTCAAGCACACTAACTCACCAGAGTGTAAGAGAGTGTCAGATGATGAAGATGTAGGTACCCTGCTATGAGTAGCTGCTTGCTGTGCATGAGACTGCATTTTTGTTTCATTTCTCTCCAAAGGGAATTCAACTTTCAGGAATTTGGAAAACCCTGTAAACTAATATCATCACAACCCCTGTCCACCCGGTTTTGTGATAGAGTAAGAATTCAAAGATGTATTGTTTTGAATTGCACATTATGCACTTGCTGATTCATATGCTTAAAACATGTTTTATGCCAGTCAGAGTGAGTCCGTCACCATACCCATCCACAACATTACACCTATGACGTGACATTAGTGACAGTATGCTTGCTTACTTTGTCTGGCCTGAACTGTTAACACAGCCATACTGTTGCAAGGATCTCTATGATGACAGGCAATGTTCCCAGCTCCATGTGTATGTCTCTCTACAGAGAGGCAGACAAACACACATTTTTTCCATGTAGATATAAGAAAGAGTCTGAGATAATGGGGTAGGAGACATCCAGAAACATTCTTCAAAAAAATGTTTCTTGATTCTATTGTTGGAAAGCTGCTCAGGGATTTTGTCCTCGCGGTACAGCAATGGAGTTTCAGAGTTCAGAATATCTGCCTTGCAGGCTCAGTCAAGTGCATAGCTTCAGGGGACTCTGTTTAAAATCCAATTCATTGTGCAGTTGTACTGAGTCTGTTTTCCTTTGGCATTCTACTTATATGCAGCCTGTCCAGCCATCAATCACTGCTCTCTGAAGGTGTGACTGCAACTCCCACAGACATGCCCTAGCTGGTTTTGGACTAGCTGGGGTGAATACTGATAGCAGGGGAGCAAATGCAGTAGGGAGCTAAGCATGGGCTAACTAGCTGAGGGCTTAGCTAGTAAGTTAAAATTGCACTAACCTAGGATGAAGAATCAGGACGGGTCTGCAATCTTTACAGGCTGCTTAGCTGTTGCTACCTAGTTCATTTTAAACTGTCTAATTATGCTACCTTGAACTGTAGTGTAAGTGCCCAAGGTAAATGAGAAGGCACCATGTGAAATAACACATTATTTTAACAGTTCTGCTTCAACAACAGCCCAAGAACTGTCCAGTTCGTTTTGTAGATCTTAATAACATACAAGCTATTGTTAACAGCATTTGGAGATAGTCTTTTAAAAGTACTGACACACAATTTAGGAAATTACTCAGGACATGAAACTGGGCATTTCTAGGCTGCTGCTACAGAGTCACCCTAGGCCTGCAATCATGGTTACTCCCTGTGTTAAGTCTTGTTTTAGATAAAACTGCTTCCTTTGCTTTGTATTTTGCTGTTTTAAGGGAGCAGCTTAGAACTGAGACAGAGTTTCTACCCATGTGTATGCATACATGCAGAAACATAAGGTGCATACGTGAGCTATCTTTGGCCAACACCTACCACTTTATCACCGACAAGCTGAACGTGGACATTTGACTTTGAATGGTCCTTCTCACTTGATAGTGTGTACAGAGGGTCTGAAAGGTAAGTGAACAAATGGAACTAGTTACATATTTGAGGAATCAGCATGAATCGTCAAGCTCCATTGTCTGTCCATATGAGAGTATAAAACCAACTAGGGAAGAAAAAAGCTGAAGTACATGTCTCCGTATCAAAGAAATTCCACCATCACACAAGTGAGCCTCAGAGCTGAACTACTACTGTTCTGTGGAACACGCACATGACTGAAGAAAAACCTACTTTCTTTGGAAGCGCTGCCGAGTTAAAATAGAAGATGAAGACATGAAACAGAAAAAAGAAAGCATGGCGCAATGGTAAGCAGTGGAAATATCGTCCTCTACATGATGCGTCCCTCTGGGACACGGAGCTAGTGCTGACTTTCCTCCAGCTCGCAAATGTTTTGCAGTCCCAAGCCTCTCCTCGCTCCTGGCAGCTTCCTTACCGCTGCCAACCCTAACGCTTTACCCCTGCGGGGCTCTGCCCCGCTCCTGGGGCTTGCACCCATCCTCCCGGCTCCAGACCTGCTTTCCCTGCCTAGCCGGTTGCCGGCCTCTCCGTGACAGCCCCTCGGCCCGCTCCGGCCCTGCACCTCGTCTATGCACGGCGGCCGGTCGGGGAGAGAGGCGGGAGGCCTGCTCGGGCAGCCGCAACCGCCTCGCAACCGTCCCGTCCCCTGCCAGCACCCAACTCCCCACCCGGGGCCCGGCCGAGCCCCGCTGGACGCCACCTCCCTCCCCGCGGAAGGGTGTCGGGCCTGGTCGCACCGGTTCCCTCCCCCCCGCCAAGCCCCGGGGGCTGCAGGGGGCGCGGGGAGGACGCCGTCCCTCCCGGCCGGGCCCGGTACCGTAGGGGCAGTGGAAGGTCCGGCCGGGAGCCATTTGACGGCCGTCCCCGAGGAGCGGGGCCCGCACCGCGCCCGTCACCGTACGGCTCATGGCGCCGCCGTTCCCATGGCGACCGCCGGCGGGCGGGGCCGGGGATGCCACGCCCCCCTACGGCGGGACGTTAATGCCGGGGGGGGCGGCCCGGTTCTGGGGGGGCGGTCAGGTTCCCCGGGCGGGGCGGCGGCGGCGGCTTCTCGGGCCTTTCCCCGGGGACTAGGCCCGGCCCTCGGGGTTTTTCCCGGCCGTTTCCCGCATGCTGCCGCCGCTTCCTCCGAACCTCCGGTGGCAGGGGGTTGGCTCTCCTCCCCCGCAGGGCCCTGTGAGGCGGCCAGGCCCGCCCGCCTCCATCTTGTGCCGCCGCAGGAGGGGAGGGAGCCCGCGGCGTAGCGGCGGGGGGGGGGGGCGCAGCCCTGTCCTGCTCCGGTGTGGAAAGGGGGGGACGCGGGTCTTTCGTCGTCTTTTCATCTTTCGTCGGGCTTAGGTGGGGTTTGGTTTTTAACGGCTCTTGCCGGAGTTGTTTTATGTGATGCGCTCCAGTCCCCCCGGACCCTCGCTTAGTGATTAAGAAAACTGGTTTAGGAATGACAGTTGGGGACTGGGTTCAAGCCTGGGTATTATTCCTGGCTTTGCTTGTTACTGCTTAGGACTTCTGCGGCTGTAAAGTGGTGAAAATAGGGTTGGTATCCACTGCCCGGAGAGGTATTTTTGCACGTGTAAAGCATCTGGAGAGACCCGCACAAAGCGTTACAAATAAACATTAGGCTTTGCAAAACATTGCTGGTTTTGCAAGGAGGAGGCCATCCTCGCTGTGAGGAACAAAGTTGGAAGCTTCTTCGTGCCGTTAAACAGGAACGGCTAACGCTTTGGTCAGCCTGAGGAGATACGGAGGCAATGCCGCTGAGACTTTTGGAATAGGACGTAAAAATCAGCAGAATTGCAAATGGGCCCTTTCCTCTGCCTATAATCTTGAAGGAAGTCCCTTGTTTTAGTTATTTTGTATATAAAACTCTGTATACCAAGTAATTATTCACAGCTTGCCAGGTCTGACAAAATTGTGGCCCCTCAGTGCTTCATCACAAGAGAGCAATGTTAGAACTGTGGTTCCAAATTCCTTGGCTCTGCCAATTTACGCATAGACATTTAATTCAACTTCGAATGCTGATTTACTTTCTTAAAGGCCCATCACTTGCTTGAAGCAACAACTTCTTTTTTAGGGTAGTTGATCAAAATGGGTCAATTGAAGACTCGCATGTGGGTCTGAACTAAGAAATGCTGTCACAGCTTTGTTGCTGACTGACATGTATAGGATACTACTTTCCGCAATGGATTGATCCATGCCCTAAAGATACCCAGCAAGCTGTAAAGGCCCTCATTTTACTAGAGAGCTTTACAATGTGATCTCTTATTTTAATTATTGTTAGGGGCAATGAAAGTCACTTTTTAATAGAGTTGCCCAACATTTCTCATGATCAGATTCAGTTTTCCTGTTTTGTATCTCATTTCATTAGAACTCCATAATTTCCATGCTGAATTTTTTCCATGCTGGACATCTGCCTTGAGGCAATGAGGTGTGTAAACTGTACTTTGGCCAAAAAAATGATTCTTTGTCAGCTCCACCCTCTCACGTTTTTCCACTTTAAGGTTTTCAGAGATGACTGGATACAGGTGGCCTGGAGTTCTGTTTTTCTGATGAGGAAAAGAACCAGATGGAAACCAGGTAGAGAAGAAATAATGGAACAATTACATGAGTTCTTGACAGAGTACAGCAAAATGTCAGGGCATAGCTTAACAAGTGAGTACTTTCTGGAGTTGTGGAAGATCAAAAAGGCGCAGTCCTGCTATTAACTTTAATTGCATTAAATTGGACTAAATGTGAGATGTTGCCACCTTCTTCTTTGTTCACCATGAGCTGCCTGGCTCCACTGCCTCTGATCTCTTGGTGTTGGCAGCTGAAAGACTATGTGGGGAACCATCTCGGGAGACTGATGTGGCTGAAAACTAACCTGTCAGAAAATAAAAGGTAAAAGTTTTCAGGTCACTGCATAGCTGCCTGAAGACTAGTACTTGCTCACGGAAGGTATATGTAGCTGAGCTAAAAAGCTCAAGGTTCAGGTTCATGGAGCTTGCTTAGATTAGATTGGGGGTGGGGGGTGGTGAAATACTGGCTTATTTTTAACTAACGTTTCAGAGAAATCTCTGTGAATTACAGATGTGGACAGTGAACAGCCTTACAAATGTTCAAAGATGTGTTGATTATTACTATCTTGAATGTTCTTTGCCTGAAGTCTTCATATTCCTGTGGATCTGCAGCTGGAGTGAAACCTGGCCAGAGCCCCTGGCATGGTGGTGTGTGCTGCTGAATACACTGCAATAGCGAAGCAGTGAGGTTTGGTCTGAATCGGTCTTTTTTTTTTTTTTTTAAATGCAGATCAGCCATTTCCAAAGAAAAAGATCCCAAAACATGAAAGGCTCTGAGAAAATGTTTGATCCCAGGCAGTAAACTCGGCAACCTTGTCTCTGACCAGCGCTTTGGAAAAGGGACTCAAAGCTTATCTGGCAGGTTGGTCTGTCTGCATCAAGGACACATCCTGTCACTCTGGTGAAGGTGAGCTGAAGGCAACTAAACTGTAAGCAATCAAAAAAGATTCCTGTTTCTTAGTTACAGTTTTCAAAGAACTTGACTGGCGGGCTTTCTCCTCAGAGCTGCGGGCTGTAGCATGATTTTTTGGGTTGGCTGTTTCATTTTTTTTCAGTAATAGCTTTTCCAGAACAAGACTGTAGCTGAGCTGGGGTGCTGTCTATCTGATGACTTTTTTTATAGCCACTTGGCTCTGAGGGGACACCAGGTGCTCAGATGTACGAGTAAACTGTCCACACCTTTGTGAGTTACTGTGCAGTGACTGAGCGGACTAACTCTGTGCCAGTGCTTAGCATGTTGCAAAATTGCAGTAAAGTGCACTAGTTTAGCTGCCCATGAAAGAGGCTGAGCCAAATGCATTTTATCTCACATTAACCTTGAGATAAGATGGTGTAATTTGCTGCAAGATGAACTACTACTCTGTTGATGGACTCGTTATGCTGTGATGACTTGCTGATGTGTTTGAACTGTAAAATCAGACAAAGAGAAGTGGAAAATTTAGACAAGGAGGGTAGGATTAGGCATTAGTTGAGAGCAGAATAGTGGCTGGACAAAGAGAAGATGGATTGGATGTGAAAGTGTGGTTTTAGAGGAGAAACTTGGCTGGCTAAGCAAAGAAAAATTAGTAGAAGAGTGTGGTGGTAGAGAACCAGTGTGCAGGGGGAAGAGGGAGAGAGAGGGTGAGCAGCCAGTAGAGCAGAACTGAAGTGGTCTTGGCAAGAAAATGGGAGACCTAGATCAGGAGCTGAAAAAGTGGGGAAGGGTGCAGAAAGGCAGGACAAGGGGGGAGAAGGCAAAGAAGTTGAGCTAAACAGATGATGAGTTTCTCTACTCTGTCTTCCTTCTGTCCTCCAAAGCCTGGGAGGGAACTGAATTTCTTGAATGTGACTTTTCCCCTGAAATTCACGAGGATCTGTGAAGCCCCTGGCAAGATGTCATCCATCTGGCTTTAAGCTTAATTATGTAGATAGTGCTCTTCTGCTCTCTGTTCGTTAGCAGTTGTTAAATGACAGCACTGTTGTGGTGGTGGGTGCATGTGATGGTTTGTGGCATCTTTTTGCTAGTTATTAAAAAAATCTAAGTTACAGGCAACAAAGTTACAGCAATAAAAGCACTGTTGAGGCTTTGATTGCAGGAAATGCCCAAATTGTCGTCCATTTAAAACCGGTAACGGTTAGCGTGCCATTTCCCATTCTTGCCACAGGATGTCGCAATTTCTCCATGTATGGTCCATCTTAGTCTCTAACCTGGGTGGTGCCAGTTCAGCACTTCTGTTAAATGTGGAATGATATAAAATTAATTTGGCCCTTGAAGCCATCCAAAGTAAGCTCTAATTTCCATTCCCTGTCCGATCTCCACATAGTTTACTAACTGTGTGTAATAAACGCCTCTTTCCAGATGTGTGAATCGAGCAGGAAAGCAGCAGCACAAAGCTGCAGTCAATGTGATTACTAGGTTTTTAATCCAGAAGAAGGGGGCCTTCCTCCCAGCCCATCAGAAGAGACTGTGAAAGAGAGTGAGGAAAAGAGGAGGAGGAGGAAGATGTGGTCACTATTCCCGGCAGGGAGCACATCAAAAAGATGTGAGAAGACAGATGCTGTGAAATCTAACTTTTTGTGGATTAAGGCCTTGTTTCTGTGCTGGCTTTTGGCTTAGTAGGGCATTATATCCATTGTGGAATACCTCACTTGTAACTTGTGACATCTTTTGTAAAAGTGGCCTTGGAATACTGATTGTGGTAAATGGAGGTTTGCCAGGGTGATGTCTTTGGTTTCTTTGTGCTGTTTTTACTAAGAGCTCTGCTGAGAGAGGCATCTTGAGATACAACTACTGAAACTGAAAAAACTAGATGAGCATCATTATAGGAGACCTGTTCTCTCCTGCTTTTCTTTTCTTAGTATGACTGTTGGCACACTTCTTGTACTAAAAGCAGTCTACAGATGAGGATAGCCTAAAAAGTCAAAAGTTCAAAGAAAATGAAGTAGTAGTGCTTTGTGATCACAGTTAAAGGATTCACTTCAAAGTGTGCTGAAAGACTTCCATAATGGTTTTGATTAGCACTTGGGGAAAAAAAAAATAAAAAAGGAAAGTGGAATGAAGGACATTTTCAGCCCATGGTTCAGAGAAGTCCAATTTGTGACAAACCCCTGAGTTTACCAATACTTCAGGCATCTCTGAAGGACATTTGTATACTTAATTTCACTTGCATTGAATGAGCTTTGGATGAGATTCTTAATGAACAGGGATGACATTTGAATGATTTGCTGGGCTGAAGTCAGAAATGTTGTTGTCTCACCTCAGTAGGAAAAGGATCTTGGATCGAACTGCTTAGGGGACTATTGAATTCCTAGTGTTCTCACTCCTCCCATGCAATACTTGGAAGAATAAATGGCAGTGCCAACATGTTAGCTTGCAACTTTCAAGTTCCAGTGTGTTAAGACATTTCTTTTTAAAATTAAACCTCAGATTCCCTCTGTTCCTTGCTGCACCAATCAGTGGTTGAATCAGCAGAGGAGATGCCACATCCTAGTCAGAGCACAGGAGGTAAGAGAACAACCAGAGGAACAATTTGATGGAAGGGGAATATTACATTAACAGGCAGGATTTTATCCCGTAGGCTTAGAAGTTGGGATGAGCTTATATCTTCAAAGCAATCAAACTACTTTTTCCTTCTGGAGACCTGGATGAGAAATGTACTTCTAGCTGGGTTGTGATGGGATTCCATATCTGCTTTTCAGGAGGGTTTGGCTCCAGCCTTATCATCTGTTTGTCTATTTTAAAAGTAAATAAATTAAAATCTGTATTTGCTGGTAGCTGCCTGTTGAGCTGGGGGAAGGGAGTCCAAGTGCAGGGAGGGAAGGCAGGCAGGCAAGGTGTAAGTAGAAGGAGCTTGAGGAGGGATGGGAGATGTTTCAGGGAGTGGAAGGGGTTCCAGCCACCACTGAGTTCTGGTTCTGGTAATATCCATTTCTCTCAGCTCCATACTAAGCAGAGAGAGGACAGTTCTTGCTTTAAAAGGGCAATCCTAAAAACCATTTGGAGCCTGTTAATAGTCTGGATGGGAGGATGTGAATTGCCCTATTTTACTCAGCCAAGCCTGAGGAGAGGTCCTGCTGAAGTACTGAGCTCCCTAACACTTGACTGGTGGTGCCTGTGCAGCCTGCAGGGATGCAGGGAGGGTGCTGTCACCAGCAACTGACCATCCTGGCCCGGCTGATGGATCACGCTTCCCGACTCTGCTCTCCCCCAGACAAGGCAGGGGGCTGGCATGACTAAGAGGGGTGGTGACTCCCTCAGAATGTCAGGGGCTGTAGAGAGAAGGTTGTCTCCTTGAGCCAAGGAGATCTCTTTACCCAGAAGCTCAGGAGTTCAGTAGCTAGATTTTTAGTGACCGCTTGATGGATTGTTTGTACTAAAGCCCACAGCAGCGCAGGGTAGCTTAACAGTTCAGCAGACAGGGAGACAGGTAGTATATATTTATCTGATGTGTCAAAAACTATGAAATGGAGTACCTTGCTGACCTCTGCAGCATTTCTGCTTTCCTTGCTCTTTCTCCTATTGTTTGCCAAGGTGCCTGGTCAAGTCTGGCTTCCAGCTAGTTGGAAAACTTTACCAGGGAGTGAATGTTTGTGCTTGCCTGATCTGAAGGGAGCACCAGGGACTCTTGATTTTTCTGTGACCATTTTAACCACTCTTTTCATGGAGTTAAATAGCTGGACAGAAGTGTTATGGAGACTCGTTTTAGCTTGTTGTTAGAATACAGTATAACTCTTCCATACACTGCACTCTTATTTCCTCTTGAACAATTAGTGTGACATGATCTTAATCCTGTCTATTACTTTCCAAAAAAATATTTACTTATCATCCTTTAATTGCAATCCAGTGAGGGCTAGGGGCCTGAGGGAGGCCTACCAGAAATAAAAGGGTGAGACAGCAGTGACAGGACACTCAGGCCACAGGAAGGAAAAAGCTAGAATCGGATGGGGGCTGAACAGAGCCCTCTCAAAGGATGCGTAAGTATCACTTCCTTCATGTAAGAAAACAAAGCCTGTACTCTCTTCAGTCATGAAAGTTCCTCTATCGTTCCCCTCTGCCTTTGCCTGCACCCTTCACATGTCACGTCCCAGTCTCAAATGGTGGAGACTGAACAGAACACAGTACAGGATCTAGAGCACATCACTGGTGTCTTGACGTATCAACTATGAGAGCATGACAGGAACTCAGCATCTAGCGTGTTGATCTGGAAATGTCCCCTCTTTGATCTTGAGTAAGTCTTTGGAGGGACCCCTAGGAGAATCACACCTGGAGGAATCCATTCTAGGTTTTAAATAAGGGACTGGAGTAGTTGAAGTTAATGATGTGCCAGTCCAGACAGGAAGTGTTGAGTAAAATTTAGTGTTTGTTACACAGAGTAAATACCAACCCAAGACACTCAGTACTTTGAGAAAATGCTGCACAGCATACTCTACAGCATCTTGAAAACCAGGGCAAAATAGCCAGGATATGGGCTTGAGCTGAAGGTTTAGATGACATTTTCTGCCATGTACATGACTTGTGTTCCCATGTCACTTTTTCAAAAATAATTGTACTCCAGCAACATAATGTATTTAGGAAGATGTCAATGTAAATAGGCTCTCTTGAGAATCCCTCCACCTGCATATAGAGATGCCCTAATGCTTCTCAAAATCTGACCGTTAAGCACTTGATAGCCAAGTCCAATTCATTTTTGGTGGGAATAAGAATTCTAAAGATCTCCTTGAGAAAGTGCCAGTAATGCTCGTTAGACTTAGAAAATCTCCTGGATCAACAAGAAGAAAAGCAGAAGAAAACAAGTGCAAATGAATTAGGTGTTCAGAGTTGAAACCTAGCTTGACCACTGATGTGAAAGAAATGGCTTTAGAGTGACTGAGTTTTCTGCATTATTTTGTAACTTTGCAAGTCAAGTAACAGCTGTGGGGATTGTAAATGGATTCAGAAGATACATAATGTTGCAGGCTCCTTACAAGCAGCTTGCAGCATTGTACAGCATATGGCTTGATGCAATATTTAAAAGGAGTGAGGTGGTGGGATGTGAGTATATAGAAGTATGCAGCTGCAATCAGTGACATCTCAAAAATGGCATGGCTCATGTATTTGTAAATACTAATGATTCCTTCCAGGCTTCCAGTTAGCTCCCGCAGTTTGTAGTGAATGTTAAACTATTTTCTATAGTGGAGCGTCACATTTCATAAAACATGATCAAGAGAGACTTGCATAGATTCAAACAAGACAGGAGCGCTACCAACACAGACATCAAAATGGCATACCACCAAGCAGAAGAAAATTGTTAATAGCAGCAACACTTAGAGGAAAAAAAGGACAACTGGAATGTGGGCAGTGGAAAAGAACTGTACTGTATTGCTGCTTCTCAATTGATTGACAGCTTAACACCATTCACTGGAGTTGCAGAAACACTGCCTCGTTTGCAGCAGAGCCAATCAAGGTTAGAAGTTTGTATTAGGGAGTATTTTGTGGAACTACAGTGAGGCATTTTTCTTCAGTACACAGGCAAGTGAACTTGGGTTCTGAATGAGATTTCCTGTAATGCATAAGCACAGACCTTAGGCAGCATTTGATTTTTGTGGGGTGACTTACCAGAGATCATCCATGCATGCATGTGGTGCTACCTATTAACAGTGGCTCAGCTGTCTGATTGCTTGGGGTCACATTCTGATCAGTTCTGACAATTCATATAGGGCTTATGCAGAAGTTTGAAAGTCTTAACTCTTTCAGCTCATGAGAATTGAGAATGAAGGATGTTTCCTGTTTGGAAAGAACTGCATAGGCAGCTGTCTTGGTTAACTCTGCAGTGGAGGAAAGATAAATGTCTGAGGATAGCAAAACTTCCCCGTGGGTGACTAATGTGTATCTTCTTCATGCCTAAACACTTTTAAACCTGGGCTATTTTTTTTCTGATGTTTAACTGAAACCAGAGAGTCTGACTGCAGCGGAGGGACAGACCTTTGCAGATTAGTGATGTTATTTTCCAAATACAGATTAGGATTTTCTGAATTACTAAGCGTAGTGACTGTCAGACAATACAGGCTTGTGTTCTTCAGCCATGCTCTTTTGTTGTGTCGGTAGCACATGCAGCCATTTGAGCGCAAACACCTGGCCTTTCCTTCTCACCAGTCTGTGCAATGGGATCTATTCCAGAATGCTCGGATTTTCACAGGTGTTCCCCCCACAATGGGAAGCAGCTGATCAGTTATCCCAGCAAGCACTGAAGTAAGCCTGACCAGGTTTGAAATGCACCTCCAACATCAGCTGCTGCATATCTGCGTTGTGGAAAAGCTGCCACATGTCAAAAGGCTCAGTTGAGCTTGCCTCCAATGCATGTGGAACAGGCGGGCTACTTTGTGGCACAGCACAAAATGCCGGCTTCCTTCTTTCACCATGTTACCAGGGTGATCGCATACTGAATTTGCTGATCTGGCTTTTGCAGTGTTGCATGCATGGCAAATTCATAATCTTTACTAATATGTTTGGATATGCTTTCAGTGGGCAGTGAAAAGAAGAGGCATAGCATGAAAGTGATGATAGTAATAATCTTAGCACAAACTGAGGAGAGATGTGCAGAAAAAAAAAGTGAGAAAGATATTAAGATCCTTTAAGTTTATATCAAAAACAAGCACTGATGTCTTTTTTTTTTTCTTTTCCTGCATGAACATCCAGATTTCACTGGAAAAGTCATTCACTGCTGGAAACAGTGTCTTGACTGTACTATAAAACCACTGGTTTCTTAGCAAAAGCAAGCAGTGGTGGCAATTCTTGAAATTATTTTTGCTGCAAATTTTGATTGGGACAAGAGTCTGCTCTGCCTGTTGCTGTAAGAGGGTTGCTATCTTCTTTACTATGGAGGACTAGGCCGCAGAGTCCTGGTCCCAACATGAATTTCTGGGATGCTGTGGTCATAGTCCTGCAATGTCAGAGACAGCAGTTCTGGTTCTAAAGTGGCAAGTGCCTGCGATCTTGCAAACTACCTTCCACCTCCAGCCTCTGACACTCTGAAGATTTGGCTGAATTTCTGGCAAGAGATGATCTGTTGCAGTGAGAGCTTGTAGGGTACTCAAAGAGACAGAAATGCCTTAAAAGTAATCTTGATTCTACTCTTGTTTCTTTAAGGGCTTGCTTGCCAGTATGGAAGGAGACTCTCTCCATACAGCCTTCCATGGTGATCTCCTGGGAGGGGATGGTTCAGTCCTGTGGTACAGCATCCCTGCATACAGAATTCATGCCGTAGTCCTGAAACATGGGGATTTGCCTCTTCAGCCTGGGAACGGACTGGTGCATCACTTCTTAAGGTGATTTTAGTGCAGTGAACCACTTGCCTTCACCTAAAGATGGAGTTTGAAGCTTAGAGGGGATGTAATTAATCACCTTAGAGTCTCTGCCATTGTACTAGATCAGAGCAAAGTCCTTCTATCCTAGCATCCATTCTCTCTCAGGTCACACCGCTGAGCTGATAGTATTTGGTAGTTGCAGGTCTGCAACTCTGATCAAAAAGAGAAACTCTACCCTGTAGTTGGGCAGTTAATATAGCAGGCAACAGGGCCCTGACAAGTCATCTTGCTCAGAGGTTTGAAGTCCTTTTTTTCCCCCGTGTGTATCTAAGCATTGACCAAAACCACAGACAACTTCTTTGATAATCAAACACAGCGTATGGTTGACTGGGCTGCTGAAGCAGTGGCTGTCTCATGTTTATACTACATCAAAGACAAAAATATTTCTCTAGACCAATATTAAACAGGTTTCTTTTTTCAAGATGGTAAAAGGTCATTGGTTCCCAGAATAGGCACTACATGGAAAATATCAAAATACCTTCAGCTCTGTTTCACCACACAGATTTTCCACAGTTAAATTTATTTTCCGTCATGTATATCGGAAGTGTGAGAAATCTGGAAAACCCTGGACTACCCCAGACTGCTACTTTCAACTGACAGTGATAGGGGCTTACCCTACCTAACAGTAACAATGAATGTAAATATATTTTTGAGGTTCCTTGAAAAGTCTGTCCATTTGAGTCTCTCTAACAGACAAGTACTTCTTTTTTTGGACAACCATTCTTTTAGTGGGCTGAAACCAAAGATAGAAGCCAACAGCAATGACTGCAGTGCTACTGTGATATTTACACATCATGAGTCACTGCTATATGTTCTTTAATTCTGATAAAGGGGAAACAGGGAACAGGGAAAATAATTTGGAACCCCAAGGCAACTGAGCAGTCTCCCCCTATTTCACCCATTACTCCTCTAAACCAGAGCTGCCAATGTCCAGTGCTGTCTGTAGTCCTTGTACTCTCACATGTGGCACCAGGCTTCCAAGTGACATGGTAGATTGAGGGAGGGTCTTTTTTTCATTATCTTTTTCAGAGACTCTGAGATTTTCAACTGCATCTTCTTTCCTGGGTACTGGATCTGACAATTTTCCAGCAGTCTTAGCTCAGTAGCCTGCCCTTAGCTATTCCTCTTTGACTGGTAGATAAATCTGTTCATCCTGACACATACTCTTTAATATAATTCTTCTGCCACTGTCAGCAGGCAGAGGACAAGTGGAAAACAAAAAGCACCAAGGTAACAATCAATCCTTACGCACAATGTAATGTCAGAAGAGAAAAGGCTGTGAGCTCCCCTCTGCACTGTACTCCAAATTGGTGCAATCAGTATGAAGACGTGTTAACTGTGCTTTAATGGCAATTCTCTTCCTTCTCCTCCCTCCCAGCACCTGCCCCTTCATCCCACCAAGAAGTGATTCCTTCTTCCAGGGTGATTCTGTTACAAACTATTACCATGCAGGCAGCATGGCCAAAATAGCAGCGCTCCTCCTTAATCTATTTGGACAGCTGCTGGAGTTAAAATGGAGTGCTGCTTGCAGAGATGTTTAGTCTCCACATGCCATACCTTTGTGCAGACCCCTCTGAAGTCTTCTCCCAAGATGACTAAATTTTAACCTCCCCCGGCCCTTGGTATTCTGTAACTCTGGCAAGAGTATAAAATGTGTTTTGTTTGGTCTTTTCCTGGTTTCTACAGGCTAAATCAATCTAATTCAAACTCTTTTTTTTAAATAAAAGATGTTGTTAAATAAAAGATACTGTTCACTTGCAGACTTGGGAAACCCCCTTTGAGGTTTTTTTACCACAGGCTTTCCCTCAAAGAGTTTGCATTTCTGCCACCAGCTCTTTCTAGGCCTTTGGATAGTGGCCAGCAGATAAAGCTTTAGAAAAAAAAGACAAAGCTAGTTAATTTGAAAGGAAAACTTGCTTAATATGTTCAAAAAACCTTAATACCAAGGCACTGGTTTGAAGAGCTGATCCGTGCTTTTGATAGGCATTTCAGTCTCAGCTCCATCTTGCAGCATGTTTGCGTGGATTTGGGAAAAGCATATTCTGGTCAACATAAGCAACCTGTACATCTTCCAGTTCATCACAAACTGGCTGTATGGCCTCCCAACGTGTGCGCGCTGAGCCAGGAGGCTGCGTGGGCGTAGGTCAGTCTGAACAACCTTCCCAGCCGAATGGGATAGCTGGGGACAGGCTATGGAGCCTGAGATTCACTGATAATTAAGTAGATGGCTGATGAGGTGAGCAAGTGTTACATGACACCATTTCAGAGGCAGGATGGCAATGCATCAGCGATCTCCTCAGAAGCCTGTGTTTCAAGGAGTCACATTGTCAGGGTGCCACACAGGTGCCCCGATGGTGAAGACAGGAGAGCTTCATCGACCTGTGTGATGAAAATGTAGAGCTTTGGACTTCTGGAAAAGAGCTACTAAGTTCTACTTCTCATCTCTCTCTCTGAGAATGAGGGGATCAAAAAAAGAATCCTCTCCTGTCATTTACTCATTCAGGTAGCACAGGTCGGTGGTGTTGGCATTCACCGTATGATCCAGAGGAACAGAAAAGCAAAATCTCTCAACAGAGAATGACCTCACTTCTGGCCTGGCTTACTGGAAGGGTAAATACCAAAAATAATGAAATAATTCTCTCTGTCTTGCCCAGGGCTCTTGAAAACAATGGGGCTGCTTGATATTTCATGAATGCTATAGGGCAGGACCCTTTTCAATCTTTTACCTGACTGGAGTATTCAGATTCCTAGCAGATATTTTGAGCTCCTAAGTTTTGCTGAGACTGGGAGCATGCAACCTGTTTTATAGAAGCTACTGCTATTTACTTTTCGTCACAGACCAAAATAAATACCTCTGTAATTGACAAGTATGGGATAATCTGCCCCAAGTGTAAAAAACTCATCCTAAAAGTCAGAAATTAATTAAATACCTAAAATACAGGCCTTCTTGTCAGTGTTCTTGTCAGTGTTCCTACAATTTCGGATCCCCTTAGTATCTGGTCCAAGCTGCCAGTTCTTCTTTGTCTCTTGCTACACCCTGTTAAAAGGCACAGCAGCTGCATCCCACTGGGCATATTCTTCTTTTCCCCTTCCAACTTCTCAGCAGCGTCACATCCACTGATGTGCAGCCCTTCCCACGTTACCTGTGTGGGGCGTCCCTTTGCTCTGCCAACGTGCCTGCCAGTCTACACACGAGCAAGTGTAACCCTGTCGCCATCAGGGCTGGTGGCAGGCACAAGCGTGGCACACAGTTGCGTTAGGGAGCTGACAGGCCGTGGCGAAATAGCCAGGCTGTTTTGTACATAGCAGAGACCTGGAAGGCAAGAGCGGCTGCTGATGCCTGGTTTGGGGCAGACGACAGAGGAAAAGCAGCTCTGTGTTTTTTTCCCTGATTGCCCGTGGCAGGGACCGGCCAGGCTGTCCCTCAGCCATGAAACAGCAACATTTTGCGTTACCAGTGATGGTGGCTGTGCTCGTCACGTGCAGGTTCTTCGCTCCCACACATCTCCAGTTTTCTGTGCACGACTGCGATAAAGAACTGAGCCCCTGCTTTCCTCACTGCTCGAGTAGGAAAAAAGAGCTTTAGGTAGCTGGCTACAACTTTCTGATCAGGGGGCCTGGCTCTGGCAGAACTGAAATCCTGTCAGTTGCCGCTCTAAGTCTGCGGTGGGTGGCAGGTCCTCTCAGGAGCTGACGCCATTTTCCACCCTCCTGCCCGCTCCCTCCTTCCCTCATCTTTCCGGCTCCGTAGGGGTCGCGCGTTCCTGCAGAATATCTCTTTCGACACGCTGACTGATTGTTACAGACTGGAGATCCGTTTGTCTTCTAACCGCCCCCGAGCCGGGATAACGGCTAACAGCCCCCCCGGCTGAGGGAAGGCGAGCTCCCGAACTACATCTCCCAGCATGCCGCAGCCGGGAGATTACCCGGAACCAGCGGAGGGCTCCAGGCTGAGCGGTCCCTGTGGCGGAGGAGAGCGGTCGTCCTCCTTCTATCCCTCCCTCCCTCTCTCCGCTCAGGCTCCGGGCAGGCAGGTAGCGGCGGGCACCGGGGCTGGGGCGGGGACGGGACGCAACCCCCCGCTGAGGCCGCTCCCTGCCCGGTTCTCCCCCCCCCCCCCCCACAGGCCGTGGCCGCCGGGAAGCCGCCCGCCATGTCGTCGGTGGCTGCCGCCAGCTGCGACGCGAAGGAGGCGCGGGAAGAGAAGAAGCCGCTGAAGCCTTGCTGCGCCTGCCCCGAGACCAAGAAAGCGCGGGACGCCTGGTGAGGGGCCCCCAACCGTCCCGCCTCAGGCTTCTGGTGGACCCCGACTCCCTCGGGGAGGGCGGCGGCTCCTGCGGGGGCATTTCCCCTTCGCGGGCCGGGCCCATCGTCGAGTTAACGGGGCTTTTTAGTCAGTCCGCCGCCCCCGGTGTGGCTTTGACCCGCTGGATTTCCCTCCCGGCCCTGCCCCTTGTTACCCTTCTGGGAGTTTCTTGTCCCTGCCGATGTGCCGGGGTGATTTTTGGGAACGCTCCCCGGGTGGAGGGTGTTGGAGCATCCAAGAGGGGTGGGAGAGGGAGAGCACGGAGGAGAAGCTGTCTTAAAAGGGTAAATGAGAAATGGGGAGATTAATATCTCACAGCCCTAGTTTAAAACAGGTTTCTGAGATTAGCTTTTAATGCCACTTACAAATCTTCACTGCTGTTGACTGGCCGAAGCAGCTATCGGCAGGTAGTAATGTTTTTATTGTTTAATTGATTATAAACGCTGTACTCCCTTAAATAAATAAAAAAAACACTTTGTTTTTTAGGTCTCAGAGGATGACCTTTCTCACAGGTGCAAAACTTGACAATGATATATATAGCTGCATTTGTAATTATAGGCTTAGTCACAATCACCAAACAGCATGAAATGCACCCCCAAAGTAGAGTTGCTTTGTCTATGACAGTAAATCTTTAAAAAACTTTAATCTGGTGACCAAGTTGTCTTTTTTTTTTTTTTTTTAACCTGACAGGTGGTACAGATGTTGTTCAGTAGGTGACATAATACTGGAAGCTGTATTTTTGCTAAAGCTAGGGGTGCATGTTTAGATAGGTGGTAGAGTAAAGGTGAGTCCAGGGACCCCTAAGGAAAGGGTGGTAGGATGCAAGTCCAGAGTCAGATGGGGTTGCCCTGGGCGGCCAGCAGACCTGTCCGTACTTACTGTAATAAAACTTAAATGATTAAGAAAATAAGATATTTTAGTTATTCACAATTTGGTAGTTTTCTGTGGCAGCAAGAACACCGTAATGTGGTGGATGAGGGTTGATCAGACCCGTGACCTGTGCTCTGCAGAGCGGTTGAATCCCCGCCTCTGGGGACAGGAAGCGCTCTGCCAGTCAAATCAAAGAGCAAGTCTAAACTGCTTTTGCGGTATACGCCGTATACTGATGATGGTAGGCTTTTACCGCTATTTGAATATATATTAGACACTTGGATGGATGCGTAACACCAAAAGTTGCCATATGTGAAATAATTTTTTTAAGAGTAGCTGGACAGGTTTTTTTGCTTCAGGTTCCCTAAGTACCAACTGATGCTGGACTAAAATGTCATTTACTGGTCAACCTATTCTGTATTGGTCTCTTACTGGAGAAATTTTGTTGCTTCCTTACTGAATGATTTGAAACTGGTTGCTGACGAGATCAGCATACTTGATAAAGTGATGCGACAGCCTTGTGTTGTATGACAAATCCCTGTCTAGACTTGCCCGGAATAGACACCGGCCTGTTCGTAGGAAATTCTGTTATGCGTTTCATCAAAGTTTTAAGTGCACAGCTCTGGACTTGGTCACCTTTCTGAGATAGTATTATACTTTCCAAAACAGTGCTACCCTGGACAGGATAGGCAAAAAGATTTCTGGAGCCTAGTAGGGATTTTTGATTGTCCCCAACAGCTTGTCAGTTCTGTGGCTTTGACTAATAGTAAGCAAACATTTTGTTGTTGAACCTTGGAAATCTTTTTTTTCTGCAGCATCATTGAGAAGGGGGAAGAAAATTGCAGGCACCTAATTGAAGCTCACAAGGAGTGTATGAGAGCTCTGGGCTTCAAGATATGAGATGAGCAGGATTGTGAATGTGGTGAGTATAGCCTTCAGTGTCCTGGCATCTCAGCTGGTGCCACTGGAAGGCCCAGAGTACTGCTCGTGATGGCAGAGGTATCCTCCTTATGAGAGGGAAGACAAAATAATCCTCATTGACACTAGAGTAAGCACTGCTGTCCTTGTGAGGGTGGTGAAGACTTCTGGCAGTGTACAGCCTTTGCGAGTAGCTCTTCAGCAGTAGAGTATGGTTCTGCCTCTTGTTGTCGTCTAATAGATCTGAACTTGAACTTAGATTTCTAATGCTAGGGCAGTGTGGGGGTTGTTTTTTGTGGCTTTGTTGCTGGGGGCTTTTTTTTGTTGATTGTTGAACTGTCCCTCAATATCCCGTGGAAATCCACATTTGGTGAAGCTGTCTTTCCTCTCTCTTCTAGATGATGTCTGTGGTGTGACTGTGTTCTGGAAAGCTGCAAAATGAATTTTTTCTGCAAGTTACTTCAAAGAACAAATAAAGAATCTATTTATAAAGAGTCTCTAATGATAGACTGTGCATCATGTCTGTGGCTTTTCCACTGTTAGCTCTTGACCGCTACTATAGAAAATATATTTTTTTCCTCGTAATAAAAGTCTGAAAATCACCAGCGTTCCTGACTTCTGTTTCTTTTTAAGTAAAGAAACAATGGTACCCTCCTCATTGAAAAGAGCATGTGAGAATGAGTAAAGCCTGCTTACTCATTGACATGAGAACATTGATTACTCCGGTGTTGTGGTTGAACAGGTGGGCCTTCGGTAGGTTTTCCCACTGATGCAAATTGAGAAATCGTGCTAGTAACACAGCCTTGTTACAGCTTTCAGCAAAGGCATGCTGAAGCTTGTCGTGCCATTTGTGACGGTAGGTGTAACTGTACTTGTACAAAGATGACCACTTTCGAAATGAACTTTCCTTAGAGTCAAAACTGGATTTGCTTTCCCCTGTTAGAATTCTTCCAACTTTTTTTGAGTAGCTTTACCCTGGGATTCAAGCTTCATTGTTTATAATGAAGAATTAAGTACTTTCCATATCAAACTCAAATTATTGAGCTAGTAGTTCTTCAAGGGAAAGGGAGCAGAGGACTGCAGATGTATGTACAGGTCACTTGCCTGAAAGCAAAGGTTTTTTTTTTCTGCCCAGTTTTTGTTGGGGGTGTGCGTGGGTGTTCATGTTCTGGCTTTTTTTCTCACCTGTGTGACATGACAGTGGGAAGGTGGTTGTGGCCTTTGATTCCTTCTTACAATCTAGAGCAAAAAAAGTGCGGTTGGTAGCTTGTTACACGTGGGACTTTTTTGGTTTCATGCTGTGTGACCCTAATGTTTTTCTTGGTTTGGTAAGTTGACTTTGTTTAAGATGGCATCACTGATTACTTCCTTTCCTCCTGCTGAGTTTTCTTTTCAGAAATTGAAGACACAAAATCTGTGCTTTGTCTTGATTCTTCTCTTGGTTTTGATCCTGTTGGAGGGATGAATGCAGTCCTGACCATTTCTCTGCCTGCTGGCCCCTGCGTATTCTGAGCTAGCAACGAACAGGCTGTGAATGTTTAGTATGTGACACTTGGTAGTGTCTCTGCCAAGGCTCACAAGTTGCATGAGGAGAGTTTAGACTTGTCTTCCGGGAATGTTTCATGAATGTCCTGGTGTCTGAGGAAATATACTCTAAAATGCTTGCAGGGGGCAAGCCGGGCTGTTAGACTTAGCTCTACACTGCTCGTCTACTCTCCTGTCGTGAGGTAAGAGGTTATGCCCGTGTTGGCTTCCAGCCTAAGAGAAGGGATGCAGGCGTAGCTCTGGCAAAAAGCGTTCAAAGCCACCTGCGGCGCTGTAGCTGGCTGTGGAGCAGGACCTGGTGTTCCTCTTGGCGTTTATTGTGTCAAGGTAGAAACTTGAATAAGGTCATTTATTGTTGAATCAACATGTGTCAGAGCTTGAACTGAAGAGAACGTTAAAAGGTGGACGAGCACCAGCTTTGTGGTAGCGTGTCCAGTCTGGGTAAACTGTGGAAATGATGCCACAGAGTGAAGAGCAGGGCAGGGTTTGGCAGTGGTCAAGTGAGAGTGGAGTGCTATTTAAATCAGTCCAAGAAAATAAAAAATGGGTCCCTGTACAACTTTCTATAAACTTAAGAAATGGGACATCTGGGCCTGCATGAAGGTAAAAGCATGGTAGATACTTTAGAAGTTTTTGGAAGGAAGATGATGAGTGGGATGCTGCGATACCTGTGTGCAACAGGTATAGAAAGGATGCTGGACAACTCAAGTACGAAAAAACCTTGTAGTCAAATCACATTTCTTGCTGGGCGGCTTCATCTGTTACTACAGGATTCCTGTGGAGTGGATTCAAGGCTTGATTCGAGGAGTGGGAGTTACTGGCACTGTGTTACTATTTACTGATGGAGCTGGTGACAGACCCTGCCCTGCACAGGGTGCTTGGTGTACTTGCAAGGGCATGAAAGGTGGCAGCAGCAGGAAACTTGACTAAACTTTACAGCAGTACAACTAAATACAGTACGTGCTGTCTTTGTCGCTTTGTGATTCACCATGAGCTTGTTGGGAGCAGGCTTTAGACCCTGCCCAACAGTTATTAAGTTGAATGTGACTTGAAACACCAGGTGGATATTTTGGAGCTACAGGGTTTATTAGCGTGTAAGTAACAGTTTTGCAGACTAATGCCAGCGATGCACTGTATAATAAATCAAAAAGGAGATGTCTGATTATGCCTGCTCTGACTTTAAGCCACCAAGGTCTTAGTGTCCTCATCACAGGTGACTGGACTAGTTTTCAGCTTATGGGATCAGTAGGGAACCTGTAGACTTCCTGAGGATGGGCAAAACAGCCAGTCGTTTAGCTGCTGTGAGATTTGGGACTGGTAATCTCTTGGTGCGGTGCTGCTCTCAAGGACAGAGGATTTATTTGCCAAACATAGCACAGGCTCCACCTGGATTGCATCATTACATGGGGCTAAGTATTAAGTGCTACTGGTTGAATTAATTTTAAGGGGGGAAATCAGTGGAGTCTTATTTTTCTTCTTCACAGACTCATTTTGTTGTAAATGCCTTATGTGCCCTCTTCCAGGGAAGAGTCTTAGTGCTGCTCAGGTGTTTTGTATGCACTTGCTCTCGATTCCAAATTGGTTTGGGCCTTGGTATCTCCTTTTTAATACTTGTGTGGCTTTCCCCTTGAATCTGTATTGGCTTTAGAACACTGATCTCAGATGAACCCCAGCATCCTTGGATGGGAGGCATGTATTCTAATTCAAGGCAAGGCAGGAAAATAGAATTTCTCCTTGGAAAATTAAGAGCTTTTTGAACTCTTGCTGAGTGGAAAACTGGAAGTGCTGTGAAGATGGTCTGTATGGCCATGATACTCTCATGGGAGAAAGGAAGATTTGAGCCTTGGAGGTTCAACCACTTGACAAATCTTCCTTTTAAAAAACTGGGCCTGAAAACACCTAAATTAATCTCTAGGGTATGCTCAGAAATGTACCTTGTAAAAGGCTGTGTCATTCGCTCTACATCATGTTCAGCCACAGCAGAAAAGCTGTATAGTTTCTAATGAGAGCTTTATGCTGTGGGTTTAAAGATTCCTGTCCACCTTCCGCAGGGAGGTTGCAACGGGCTGTCCTCGCCTGCGGTGCTGGCCCCGGCAGCACTGCGACGCAGCGCGTGCCTCTGGGCTTACTGCAACACCCCTGTCCGTGTTCTGGAAGATGCCAGAAGAAGTACCTTCTTTGTCTAATGAGTCATTAGCATTGTGTTCCAGAGTATTTTCTAGCTCAGGAATTTACCTGAGGAGTGAAATGAATAACTTTTTTTTTTTTTTTTCTTTTGTCACTTTCTTTGATGTTGCCACAGAAGTTTTTTGGTAGTACAGAAAGGTGGGAGGAATTGCAATGTTGCTTCTCAGAATGCTTCCTCTAATGTAGTTCTACATTGCTATTCATAGCAGTTCAGTTTTGTCTCACAGATCTTACATAAAGTATCTTTCTTGTGAGTGTTCGCAATCTTGATATCCCAACTCCCCACTACCATCAAATGTCAGCCCATCTTGGAAGGAGGGCCCCTTATAATAGTGATTTTTTTTGCAGAGGCCTAAAGGTAGAGAAGTTGTTGGGATCATCTAGCAAGTACATGGCAGTGGTATTAAAAACAGAACTTGGCTCCCAAGATTTTTTATTGTAATGGTTTGGCTATAAGGTCATCCTTCCCTCTTTGCAGAGAAGGTCAAGAGAAATGAAGTTCTTCATTTCCCCATACCTCTTGCAGCTGAGCCTTGTTCTGCTTCAGTCAGTAGGACTTATTTCTTCATTTAAATAAGGGACCACTGGAAACAAGGTTCCCTGTTTCACTTCACCCTTAACAGAAAGCATCTTTCTGAGTGGATCGTACTCATCCCCTGTGCAAAGCTTAATTTGTCGTTTCCTTCCCACATGGCAACCTGTCAAGATGGCACAGCCTTTGCTGCTCTTAGGAGTCGTACCGCTCCATGTTGCACGTGGACTAATCGTTGTAGAGATAGATTGTACTGTCCAAGACCATGATGAATTCTTTAAGGTTGCCATAAAGCATTGCTTCAGCCTCGCCCAGTAGACAGTGTTATTCCAGAGCCTGTTGGTAGAAGAGGCCATTCGTGTGTCTTTAAGTGAATGGTGCCAATGGGAATGGCATGTTAGGCAGGGCAGCTGCGAGCTCAGCCTGAAACACGACCACCCTTGAAACCCTATCCGTACTCCACTGACCCATGCAGGCTGACTTCATACTGTTGACTGACTGCGTGGGTTGCGTCAATGCCTGAAATGTAACTGCTTCCTGGCAGATCCTGCCTGTGTGACTGATAACGTGTTACTTGAAGCAGGGGAGAAACTGCATTTATTCATCTTTTCTGTAGATGACCATGGAGGGCTGAACTTGGAGGGCCCCTCTCGTGCCTGTGACCTGGGTTACCCAAGTGGAAAGTGTTCGCTTTCCTCTTCGTGCTAAATGAAGGTCTGAGGGGTTCCAAATAGCTATAAAGAAATGAAAATGTGAGATGACGTTTCCCAAGGATGCTTCCCAACAGAGCCTGTTCTCCGTGGGATGAGAGAATCCTCCCTCAACTAGGGTTTCCCCACAAAATACGCTTCCAAATGTTACGCTCCCAAAGTTTTAGGCAGGATAGTCTCCTCTTTGTGATAGATGAAGCTGTGTCCCAACACCTCATTTACTCTAGCTTTATCCCTTGCAGTCACAACTGTCTGCCCGTGCAGAGCTTTACCTCGTGCCCCTTGGTCTGAAACACCCCACGAGATGGAGCTCCCTGGAGCAAGGGGAGGCTGTGCTGCAGTGCCTGGAAAGCATTTCTCCATCTTTCTCTCCTTTCCAGAGGCTCTGGAAAGCCTCTCTTGGTAAGTTCCTGCCGCTGCTACGAGCCACAGCGGGAGAAGGGGGTGACCTTTTTCCTTTTTTGTGCCGGGTGAAAGTCGCTCTCTTGCAGGAGCGCAGAGTGGTGCGGAGCCCCACGTGTGGCTGGAGCTGGCTGCGATAAGCTGGTTGTTTTCCCCTTTCCTTTCCCCTCCTCGTGCTGTGCTGTGCTTATCTGGGCGCCCGAGTTATGTTAAGTAGCGGGTGCGTGCTTGCTCTCTG